CATTGAGTAAAACACTCATGACCTGCAAAAGAAACTTGTAATTGTCACAGCAAAAAAGCTGAAGCTATCATTAAGATTGTAATATGTGATAACGTATGTAGAGCATTGCAACTGGAGAAAGGAATGAATTACAAATTACTTGTCATAGGCAACTCATTATTCCAAGCTGTGGTAGGAAGTAGCACTAAGTGCTGTTCCACAGGCATAGAAGGAAATTTATTGGCAGTTGAGCTGCTACAGGTCTTTTCCCCATGAATACTTATGGAACGCTCCACAGATAGGCCCCAACAGTGGTGTTCACCTGGCACTGGATGCTGAAAGAAAGCATTCTAGAGGTGTCGCAGGTCAACTGAAGACCATGCTAGGTCCCCTAGCCTTGAAAAGAGACCCAGACTGCCAGGAGTAGTACAGACACTCCTCACTTAACAACCTACCTGTTTAACCCCTTGGGTTTACGACCCTCTCATAAATCTGGGCTTGACTCTTCACCACACCCTTCTGAACAGCACATGATTTATTACCCCTTTATATACTATTATTGCTCCACGCTTATTGACCATTTTGCTTAACAATCTAGTTGTAAGAATGGAACTTAGTCCTTAAGTGAGGAGTGCCTGTATTGAACTTTCCCTGGAGCTAACGGAAGGAAAATACAGCTATTGGCCTCCTCACATCCTATCCCAGATAAAGCAAAGTAGCTTTAGTAGCTTCACATGTGGTGGTTGCTGCTTCATGATCCCCACCTCCCAACAGAATTGCTGTGCCTTTGGACATGCCTTACAACTCTTGTTTCTGCTGTAACAGACTAGCCCGTTAATTAATGTTGGTCATCAGAAGGAACCCAACATTGCCATCAATAACACTGGGAAGGCAACAATTCAGTTTGTGGATTAGTGTAACTAATTTAGCCAGTAGGTTGATGGTTTTGAGAGAAAGCAAGAGACTTACAGAAAATAGAATGGGTTTCTATCCCGCTGCGGCTCTGTAGTGAGAGATTTCATTTTTGGATCCTTTGATGGGGCTCTTTTTGTAGTTTTTGTTATCCGTTGCCTGGCATTTGAGCCTACGAATCTCACTTGCCTTTATTGGACTGCAAATCCCACAAATGGATTAATGACTGGAACAGTGGGATTTGTAGGCAACATATCTAAAAACTGCCAGACTGGAGAAAGCTGTCCTGAAGCATGGGACTGAATAACTTGCATTCTGTCACTGATCTATTTCTCTTTTCTACATATTCCCACCCCACCACAATAATGGGTGCTGCTTACTCGCCCTTCAGAACAGTGGATTGCTTGTCTGGATTTGTAAAAGACAAATAGAGGATGTGATCATTCCAGGAACAGAACACAGATCAAGTGCTGAAGTGCAGTGATGAGAGGTTTATGAATGAAGAGAGGGGAGTTCTTAATCAGAAACATGTTGAGTGCCTCGAGGTACATGCAGCACCATTTTCTACAGTCCTGAATAACAACATCCTCTGCCTCCCCCCAACCAATTAACACAAGTTGCTTGGAGCAACACTGCCTTATCTGTTGCATTTATCACCTGCATGTGAGTAAAATAAAGCAATTGGATTCAGCTGTGATTAAAACTCCTGAAAATATCCCTAGGTAGAGTTAAGCAATTATAAGGTTACAAACCTAACAATCATTTATTTGGGAGTACGTACTCGTAGATTAAGAACAAACTATGCAATGGTTATTTAAACCAAATCAATTATACAGAGCAGGAGGAATGTATATAATTAAAACAAACTGCAGAATTCAGATTTTCTAACACTGGGGCAGAATTTTATGCACGGCTGTGTGTGTTTGCTGTGCCATATGCAGAACTGCTTGCCACTGCAGTCTTGTGCATACCTACTCAGAATGAAAGCTATGGAAAGCAATGGGCTTTTCTCCCCTAGGAAGGGTATGGATGATCGTGCCAATGGTGGGATCAGGAACTACTGGTCTTCTGAACCTATATAATGTGAGGCATATTAGAGTCCCCCCCCCACACACACACAAAATGTTCAGGGCAGAGGCAAGAAGGGAAGTCTGAGGCAAAACTAAAATATCTTCTCTCTTCTTCAACTTCTGTCTCACAAATGTTCTAATCCAGTCTTCCTGAGACTCTTCTCTCCTGTGAAGAAGGCAGATAGATAATCACCCCCCTATTTTAACCTTTTAGCCCCCCCCCAGAAGCCAGCACTGAACTATTTGTTCTCCTCCCTCTCCTTCTTGAATCCACCCCTTGCCATAAATAGTGAGGCAAAACCTTTTATTCCTAGCAACATGGGAACAAGTACTGTTATTTCAGCTTCCTTGAAGGAAGGGAGAAAAGTATTAGCATGGAACAAGTTAAATTTAAATAGTTATCTAGTTAAACTCGTTATCTAGTTAAATTACTAATTAACCAATTATTTCCAAGGACACATGGTTGCATTCAGAACTGGCCAAAACTGTGCAAAAAATATTTTGGGTTGGTGGCTGATGATGCCAGAAAGTCCCAGCGCTCAAATCCTGTGAGCTGATTCACTTACTTAATGTAGATTATGGTGTGGTGTGGTACAGCACTCCACCATAACAAAGCCACATTTGTTGGGGGGGGGTTTCAAAAAAGAATGTTTTCAATCAACATGTCACTCTTTTTTTGTTGCTAAATATCATTTTAATTCTAAGGCATTTTGGCATAAATTAATTCAAAGGCATTTTTAGTCTATGTTTGGTGCATAACTTCTGAATATGCGTTAAAGAACAAAGCACTAAGGAAATCAAATCTTTAAGAGGACACAGCACAAAGACCACTTTAAAAAACAGTACATACTAACATTCCAAAGAGGTAACGATAGGAAGGAAGAATCAATAATCAAGACGTCTAAATGCATAAAAATAAATCTTTATGTACAAGTTACCAGAAACGAAAAAATACAAAGATTTCCATTTGTTAATAAATATACATGTAGAAGGCAACATGGAAAGCAAATAAATTAAAAAAAAGATTGTTTGTAGTTCGGACTACAATAGTTTCCACTAGATAACTATAGAGGATTCTTTTTTAGAAATTTGGCTGAACTCCACTGATCACTCACATAGTTATATTTGCCTTGTCCCCCTGTGCGCACAAGCTGAAATTAAAGTATACTTGAGTGCTGATCGAGATACTTGTTTCTGTGCACTGGATGTCAGTATGCACGAAGGTTTCATTCTAATGAAATGGGCCTCTTGACCAAGAAGCTCCGTATATGCATCAGACTCCATCTGCCCAGAAACTATCACCTGTTTAGGGCTAATTACTTGAAAAAGAATAAAATGGCTACTTGAAAATGTTTGTTCTTGGTGGGCTAACTGAACCACTACTTACATTTGCCACTGCTATTTGCTGCCAATTCTTTATCTAGATCTTTTGGTGCATCTAAAAGTAGGATGAAGACTTCCAAACTTACATTAGCCCTGTCTTAATGAGGGCCCCAAGCAAAGCATATACTCAGTGTAAATGCCAAAAAATATTCTGTACGGAGCTAATAAAAATGTGATATTTTAAACTGTCACTTTTGTAAAAATATGTAACAGCTACTTGTATTCAAGACCTAGAATAATGAACTGTTCTAGATTTCTGCTGCTGCTGCATCCAGAAAGTATATGTGTTTTCTTCCTGTCCTTTTATCCCTTTCTCTCATCGGCTACCATTGAAGTTCTTGATCATTTTTAAAAAAATCTCATACATTATTTTTAATTTCATTTTTTACTTTTCATTCTTTTGTATATAAATTCAAATTTAAAAAGATCTATTTTAAAAAGCTCAGGGAAGTAACAAAACAATGAAACCGACTGCTCCAAGCAACACTTTTGAACAATTATAATTTTGTATATGTAGATGTACCTACTTAAAACCAAACACCAATTTCAAAAGCACTTGTGATGGCCCATTTGCACACGTTTGCACCTTGGCTGGCTTGTTATAAAAACTAGCATTCAAGTTCATACCTACTTCATGCCTTTTACATTTATATATCTGTCTTGAAAGATTTTCAGATTTATATACAGGTACCCCAAACGACATGTTTGCTCACAAGGCAGCCCTTTTAGGTTATAGTCCTAAAGTATGGTTTACTACTCTGTGCAAGAGCCTTGAACCTTTCCTCATCAATCTTCTGCAAACACAGGAATGTGATCATTCATTTCTGTTTGAAATAATTTCTCTGTAACGTCTAAACATTGTAGTTGGTTTAAACTACTGTTAGTTGAATCAACCCAAGATGCAACTATGCCTTATACTGTTGCTTTGTTCACTAAGCTTAAATCAACCAGAATTTCCTCATGTTTAAGTGATAAATGTCCGGACTAGAGCATAAGAGCAAGTGTGTATCCCAGGACTCACTCCGATCATCTTAACCCTATCTGTATTTTTTTTTAAGTGTCCAGATTCCAAATTCATCCAGCCAGCGAGCCTTTTGGGAGTATGCTGGCCAACATCTTGCTAGATTGTCCCTGTGCAGAATGAAAGCTAACAAAGGAGCTGGTCATGTGACCAGGCTACACACCCTGTACTTCTTGAAATAGGCAGACACTTTTGCAATATTGGTTCCATGTGTGGACAATAAATTGGATGCTGGACGGTGTCTTAAAAAGTGTGCAGATTTTAACCATAGCAGAGCTCTGATCAGCAAGATCATCTTTAAGTCTTAGTCCATTTGAAAGAGATGCCCAAGATGACCCTCCTGCAATTTCTTATGCCAGAATCAGCTATTAACTAACAGCAATAATAAATATGCAGGGCTTCCTGCAACCTGAAAAATGCTCTTTCAGGTCCACTGAACTTGGGTTGCAACTTTTTACAGTTGCAATATGCTGAAGAGACCATGTGAACAACTCTTACAGATAGTCAGTCCATGGTTCCACAATAGGCATCTTCCCCCACTTCAAAACAATTTTAAAACCAAGCATAGCAAAGCAAAATAAAATCTATACTATAAAAAAATAAAGACTAATTTTATAAATTAATTATAAGGGGGAATACAAATTTAGAAATATAATAAAGCACATATAAATTTAAAACATATATTAAAAATCCCAAGCTTTTCATTCTCAGCCAATATGCTTTCATTCTTTGGTCCACATCTGTTGCCATGAACCAGGAACTAGCAACTTCGACATCCATTTTTCAACATCATCAGAATAAAGCAACAGTGTCACAAACACTGCACAAACTGCAGCACCTGTGTGCCACCAGAATTTCAATGAATACTTATGTGACTTCAAAATATTTCTCATAAAGATAATCAGGAGGACGCACATTTACAACACAGAGAATAATAACACTTCAGACTAATTGTTTCCCAAGCGAATCACCGTAATCCATGGGACTTAATTTTGCCATTACTAATGTAAGTCCCTTTGATTTTGATGGGTCTCCTGTATGACTAATTATGAATCCAGCCCATTAATGTAGGAGGCCGAACATGAGCAAAATCTCAAATATTGTCCACAGTTAACCTTACCAGCAGACATCTAGTTCCAGTGTTTTTCATGAAGAAGCTCAGAAGTCCTCAATTCTTTCAAAACAAGCATGATGCTGGTTTCAGGTTGGGGATGAAATTTCAGGAACAGCAGCTAATGTTTTCCATTTTGCAAGCCAGAAAAATGGTCTATGGTGCTTCTGTGTTACAAAGTGTAATATTTACATGTATACTCATAGGACAAAGTATGCCTTATTTAAATCTTCACCAGGCAGGTTGGCTTTTAAAAAGCACATGTGATTTGAGGTGGCGAAGCCTTTTCTTCAGGAACCAACATGCACGAATGACTGATGCTGCTGCAGGCCCAAGGACGTTGTACTCCCTGGCTTGGTTTTGCTCAATAGTTTAGAATTTGCTGTTGAACATAGAGAGCAGTGAAGATGGCTGTGGAGTAAGGGTTCCCATCATTCCCGCCACCAACAGTCCTGCATAATATATGCCAAAATCCTTTATTTTTTTTAAAGCAGAGGGAAGTCTCTTTCTTTAGAACCAATGAGCACTTGATTTCTAAATGCTGCAGCAATTTTTTGTGAATGCAGACTTTTTAAGCGTTGTCCCTGACAGATTAGTGACTGACTTGTCATCATCTCTGCTGTCACTTCTTTTTCGGACTTCTCTGCAAAACAAAAAGTTTATTCATAAACAGAGCACTTTTGAACAAACAATGCCCTGCCCTCCATCAGTAGTTGCTTAACTAACAGGTAAGTACTCTGGACTGGCTCAGCATTTCTCTCCTTGCATAAATCCCATTATCTATGGTCACGAGTCATGCTGCAAATATATCACAAATTCATCAAAAAAGAAATGATTGCAAGATTTTACTAAGCACCTATACCTGTACATCATGCCACTATTTCAGTTTGGCATGCTTCTTCTCTGGCTGTGATGCAATAAGAAAAAGCACATTCTCCTGCATAAAGTTCACTCCGATAGATATGTCATACAAGAGAAGTCACCAATTAATTGGATCCTACACGGTTAATTGACCTGTGTGATCAATTAATGCATATAGGAACAAGACTATCTCAGGATGTGTCAGTATCAGCATATAATTAATTTCAAAACACTATTCTAGAACAGATCTCTGCATATTTCCCCACAGGTATGCTGTATCTTACTGGAATTAAGGGCTGGGATAGAAGGAAAGAGTAGATCTTGAGATGGAACTGTGAAATATCTGAGGCAGCTCAGAAGCCCCTCCAAAAGAAACAAGCAGAGTTAACTGTCAGCAGAATAAAAAGTGGGAATTGGCTTTGAAAGAAGATTCTGATCTAGAAAGACCTGTATGGTTTGGGTCTAGTTTCTTCGAAGGACTGTATCTCCCCATATAATCCTCCCTGGTCGCCGACATATTTGGGGCTTTTCTTGGTCCTGCCACCATTGCAGGCATAGTTGGTGAGAACACAAGAGAGGGCATATTTGGTGGCTGCTCCCAATCTGTGGAATTCACTCCCACATAAGGACAGGTTAGCCCTCTTCTTGTTATCCTTCTGCTGAGAGGTAAAAACCTTCCTGTTTAAACTTGCTTTTGATTTCCAAATGCCCTGGGGAGATCTGGCATTTATTTTATTATCTGCTTTAAATTTGTTTTGTTTTAAATTAGCATTGTTTTTAATATTGTTACAAGATTAATTGATTTTAATATAAATATTCTAATTTATTATACTATTTTAATTTGAATAAAACAAAATGAAAATAAAACAAAATGAATTATGTATACTTTTCTAGCTGCAATATGCTACCTTGAATCCCTTTCATTAGGATAATGGCAGACCGTAAATAATATAAAAAACACAAACAAAAAAACAAACAAACAAAAAAACACACACACACACACACACACACACACACACACACACACACACACACACACACACACACACATGCATGTTCATCCATGGTCTATCACTGGCTTTTCATACACGGTATATTAGTATATTGTTCAGAAAACAGGGCCCTTGTTCAGGGATCAACCATATGATTAAAATCTTGTTATAAAGAGAAGAATACTTTTACTATCTATTATTTGCTTCTAATAATAAAGCTAAAATGCCCGTTTTCTACCTGCTGTTTGTGTTATGTAACCAAGCTGCATTTACTCCTCAGAAACCACTGATGCACCAAACTATTTAAAAGGCTAAGTTCCTGGAAATGACCCATACCACAAAGCAACAATTAACTTTGAATTGCCATTTCCAGAAAACCTCCTCTGCACTTGTTGCCAGCGGAAGATGGGGAATTTCTCAACTTCATCTCATTCCAGGAATCCCGTATTTATTTCTATTATTTCAGCAACAGCCTTTGAACACAAACAAGCAACCAAGTGCTCCTGTTGATCATGTCACAGGCACTAGTCCTCATTTCTGACCATTCCGACCTTCCATTGGAAGCTCCACATATTTTAAGCAGGATGAGGATGAATAATATATATAAGAGCTGTGCCTAGAAAAATAATTTCTTTGGAGGAGAACTCCCAGAATCCACTACTGAACGTGGTCACTGGCTGGTGAATTACAATTTAAAAAAAGAGAACATGGTCGAGCTCTGTGCATGTTTGAGTACAGAAAGAACAAACTATGCTCTTTGTGATTTATAAACAAACTGTTCAGAGATGCCCTGAAGCCTAAAGGATAAAGCTGCTTGCTGAACCACCATGGCTGCCTTACCTTTCCCCAACAGCACTGACTGTGCTCACCACAAAACATGAGCCATCAGTTCTTGAGGGAAGTAGTGGATCTCTGCATGAGCAACATGCTCCTGCTCATGAGCCAGCAAGAAAGATGGGCATTTACCACTGTTTTGGTGGTTCAGCACAGTTTGGTGGATCAAGCCCACAGGTGTTGCGTTGGTGCCCCAGATTTTGTGCCCCACTCTCTTCCAACAGGTGCCCTGTCCAAAGCAGCACCACAGGGTTTCCTGCCCCACCGCCTCCTCTGAGTGGGTGCCCACCAGAGGAGGCAAGATGCAGAATCTACGGTGCCCACACAACACCTGTGGGTCCAATCTGTCAAACTGTGGTAAGTGCCCATTTCTTGTCAGTAAATATGAAGGGGTAGGGGACCATCTGTTTTCTTCCTCAGGAGAAGTCTTACCTGGGTCAAACTGTCATCTGTTTGTGTCACAGAGTATGACCACTCATGAACATACAAGAGGGAGGAAGGGACCCAGTGATGGCAAACACTGCAAAGGGAAATGGCTAGTCGTGGCCAGGACCCTGAAAAGTATCTCAAACTTTTGTGAAGGAAGGAGAGTACACCAGATATAGGAAGTTACATGTAGAGATTTTATCACTTTTACACAGAAGTAATTTTAAAATATGAAACACTAACATGGATAACATATGAACTTGTGAGAATTGTTTAAACATGTGAAGAACCATGTCCTCACGTTAGAAAAAAGACCTGACTTTTAAAACAAATTGAAAGAAGTTGGAGTATTTCAACGTACCGAGCAAGGTGAAGTACCGCCTCCACAATATTAGAGCCATCTTTAGCACTTGTTTCACAGAACAGAGCACTGTAAGCCTGGGAGAAAAATAAAACACAACGGGAAAGGCTGACAGATCTGCCCATGGATGATTTCCTTCAGTTAAATTATTTAAACTGATTAAAAAATTGAAGAACATCTGAGAATAAGCTAACCTAAGAGAAGAAATAAGTCAAGAGACATGGCTATACTTCCACTGGATCACATGCATATGCTTTGCTGTACCATAAAAGTACCAATAACAAACCATAAAATCCAACAGAACTGTGCTTCTATTAAATTATGTGTGTGTCTATTTCACTTATCTAGATGTATCTATTAGATTGTATAGATATTATGCACAAAAGTATGCATCTGTTAAGTGTGAAATCATGAATCCATGAATTTTAATCTAACATCCATATTTTAAAGCAAACTATAATCCTTAATCACTTATGACTTAAGTTCTATAAATCCAAGGCATACTTGATACTACCATTTTAATACACTCATCTAATACTACTTCATTCTAGCTAGGATTTTTTTGTTTGTGAACTATGGGATTTCTAGCACTCACCATAGCCAGTTTCTCTCCATAGCTTGTTGGTACACATTTCTGTCCTTGCTCAGAAACCACTTGGCGGAGATCTGATTTGTTTCCCACCATCATGATGGGGATGTTTTCATGTGTTGCATCCTGGAATGATTAAAAGAGATTAGTTAGCTTCCATTTAATAAGCTTGATCCTGGAACTTCAGTTATTAGAGTAACAGGAAAAACTAAAACATCCTAAATTTTCCTATCAAAACCTGATAGTGTCAAGTTTCCGTGTGGTTGGGTGTCAGGAGTTAGAATCCCTGCAGCACCTCCCAGGAGACCTAGAGCACAGACAGCCGATGGGCAGGCTGCACAGTCCCAAAATCCTGCCACAGTACTAAACCTCTTCTGAGTCCTTTTATACCTAGAACAGTGGCCCCCAAACTTTTCAACACCGCAGACCAGTTGGGGGGATACGGGGTCTTCAACACCGTGGACCGGTTGGGGGGATACAGGGTGCGTGTGCAGGAGGACGGGGCACCCCCACATTCACATGTATGGGCAAAGGAGTGGTGCTCACTTGCATGGGCACTCGCACAAAGGGCGGGATGCTCGAGCAGTGCATGCACACACTTGCGCTCATGCGTGAAGGGGCTGTGCACTTGGACAATGAGGGGGGAGTGCGTGCAGGGGGCAGGAGATCTGTCTCCGCGGCCCGGTCTGGCCAAGGCCACGGACCGGTACCGGGCCGTGGAGCAGGGGTTAAGGACCCCTGACCTAGCATTGACAGCACGGCCACAGACCAGGGGTTGAGGACCCCTGACCTAGCATTGACAGCAAATCACTGTTCTTCATATTATACCTTTGTTCATGACAAAATTAAAGGTTAGTCAGTGTAAGTTTAAATCACATTATCAATGAACATACTGAAGCTAAAGCTTAGTGTATATATCTTATGCTACCGTTTAAAAAACAAAAGTGGCTTCCTCGAAAGAAAACTTGATTAATTCTAGTTCGAAGCCAGAATTGTGTTTAATGTTTATTCATGAAAAAAAGGTGTCAGCACAGTGACTGACTGCTTACTCAAAAAAAGTAAATACATTTCAGTAAAACTCAGGGTGATGCTTGTCCCTCACTTTCTGAAGTGACCTATGTATCAAATCACTTCTGCAATCAACCACCATTATGTGGTTGTCCTTGCTTCAGAGACAATTTACATTTAAAGCAGTGGTTCCCAACCTTGAGTCCCCAGATATTCTTGGACTAAAACTCCCAGAAGCCTTCACCCCTAGCTGTGCTGGCCAGGATTTCTGGGAGTTGTAGTCCAAGAACATCTGGGGACTCAAGATTGGGAACCACTCATCTAAAGCATCCGCTTGGGGGAGGAGGAACTGTGGTTAGTAGCACAAAACTAAAACCTTCTGTCTTATAAATGTCACTCTTTGGATTCAGCAAACTGACTATAAGTGGGGAGCAACACGAATGGAAAGCATAACAAACTGTACGTGTATCTCAAAAGTTTTATACGGTTAAAATGCTTACCGCAATCATATCCACCCACTCTCGTACATTTAGGAAACTTTTCTCACAGGTAACATCATACAGCAGAAGCACTCCATCCGCTCTTCTGAAATATGATTTAGCAATACTGCGAAATCTGTTAATACCAAAAGTTATGTTAAATGCCACAGTAGGGCTTCTATTTCTCTTATTCTGTTATCTTTGGTCCAATCCACACACAAGTTCAGTTTACCAAACATACAGACCTGTCCTGAATCTATTTACCTTCTTAAGAGATTGTGAAAACACCAGCTCTGAAGAGAAAGCATGATAGGCCTCCCCAGTGAAATCCATTAGCATGCTGGGAAAAATCACTTTTACAGATTCTTGCAGAATGCTCCAGGGACACAGCAATTTGCCATGCTGGCTGGGGGGACTCTGGGAGTTGCAGAGAGAGAAAAAGCTGGGTACGGGGGAGCTCTTCCAAGCTTTGGTTCAGACCCAGAAACTACTTTTATTGGGAAGCAGCACCATGCTGCTCCGACTATGTGCACGATTTGCCAGCAGATCTATTCTTTCCTTAGAAATCCAAAGACTACTCAAAATAGGTAAGGCCTTTGGAGTCTTGTGGTACAGATTTTCCATTCTGTAAATGGAATATGCTTTATAAATTTGACGATTTGTATAAAGTTACAGGTGCCACATAAACTGCTGTATAACACATTCCCAGATGAAGTTCTAGTCACCCCAAACATTGTCTTTGTTGCCTTGGTAAAACTCCAGTTTTAATAAACTAAGACCACAGTGCTCTGCATTACATACGTCTGTAGTCAAGCCACTTCCAACTTACAGCATCCCTATGAATGACCTCCAAAATTACATACGTGTAACTAAGTACTTTGGGACACAACACACCTCACTTCTCAGTAAACATGCGCTGCAGGATTGCACTGTAAATAAGTAAGACTGCAGTACCCACAGGGGGATCAGTTCCAAGTACCCACCACCACAGATCCCATTAACAGTGGATAAGCAAAGCAGTTTCGTTGGTATCCATGCATGGTTGACAGAGGGAGTTGTAACCCAGTCTTGACAAGGGACCGGGTTTCCTGCCCTCCTGTTTGCAAGGGAGGTTTCCCTGAAACCAGCAACTGCTGCCAGCCCATCCCCACAAATACAGCTTCTCAAGTTCACCAAAAGCTGCTTCCCTTGGAGACGTCAGGCCACAAGTGCATTTCCATTAAGCTGCCTGTATATGGCATACTTTCTGGTTCCATCTAGTGGCTAGTGTTGGTAATACCCCTTGGGAAAGTGTATTTCTGATTGGTTTGTTTTTTTAATATTTAGTGTTATCAATTTTTTTCAGGCAGTGGATAAGTGAAACTGTGGGTGCTGAGCCCACGGATACAGTGGTCCTACTGTATTTCAAAAACTGCCATAGGAAAAGAGGAGGCTCTAAGAGAAAACACATTGACTCAATAAAAGAAACTAGGCATTTTCTTTGCAAAGGCCCCAGCAGAAGGATAGGACCTTTTAGAGGGCTGCCACATCTGAAATGACTCAACAACCATTTAAAAATAAAGACATTTTATTTAAAAAAATTTTAAAACATACTAACCGCTCTTGACCTGCTGTGTCCCACAGTTGTAGCACTGTTGGTTCCCCATCAACAATAAGCCTCTTCATTTGAAAGTCAACCCCTTGGAAGAAATTTACAACATCAATTTGAATCATTTAAAGAACTAGATGATGGCAAAGATGTAGCAACACAAGAAAACTATCCAACAAACCAGATTAGAGCAAAAAGGCAGTGAATAACAGATTTATTGAGAATTCAGTGGTCAGTTTTTGCAGTGGTTTTAGACCAGTCAGACACAAAACAACGGCTAAGAGGCAGGTTTCCTTGGAGGAGGATCTCTGCTGCTTATAATTTAAAAGGGGGGAAACTGCAGTCTCTACATGTTTGTCTTCCCTAATTGATAAAGAATCTGTGGCCACCAAGACAACTGGTAATGCCCACCACAGAAGGAAAATACAAGAAACATACCTAGAGTTGCGCTGGTGTTCCCCCGAAATTCATTTTTACAAAGTCTCATAAGGAAGCTGGATTTTCCAACTGCTGCATCCCCAGCAAGGACTATCTTGTATGCCTTTTCTGAGCTTGGGTATCTGGAGTTAGAATCTGTGGAGTCTGACTAAATATGACAAACACACATAGACACATTAGACTGTCAATGTTAACAGCATACGAAGCTCTTCTAGTATATCCTAGTATCATCACCAAGCCACAGTAACTTTCCAAATGATTTCCACGGGTTTAAGGGCTGCACTGCCACACACAATGCAAGGCAATCATACTGAATGGGAATTACTTCTGAATGGCCATGCAGACTCTTGTCCTAGTAAGTGTGCTTAACTGTATATGAGACTGTGGTCTCTATTGCCTGGCCCAAAAAAACCACATGGTTATTAACATGCCCAACAGAGCTTTATGGTTCTCAGAGAATAACAGGAAAAAATATTTTGAAATTGATGGGAACTTCAAAGCACTGTATAAATTGTTTGGTATAGCTGTACTTAACCCAAGGGGTTAAGGCCATAATGACTAATTGGCTAATTTTTAAAATCGTTACTTTGTTTTCAGAGATTACAGTATTTCAGCACTTTAAGAGGAAGGGCACAGAAGAAGCCCCCCTGAACAATGTAAGGACTATGGACACATTTCAGCATTCTCCCAGGCAATGACAGCAACTTGTTGGCTGATCCTTCTATTCCAGAACCACACTGCATTGCTTCCAACATAAACCAATAAGCACTTTAATGGAACCATTAAGTACAGCTATATCAACAAGATTTCAGTCAATAGGTAATATGCAAAAGCAAGTCCATATTTGGAAATATATATTTAATATATGCATGTAATATATACATATAGCTAACAGAAGATTTCATTATATGCAGTTTAAAATTGTTTTTTAAGTTATTAAATATTATTCCTTAAAAATTAATTTTGAAATGCACATGAATTCACTACCCTAAATATATGCACACATACTAATACATACTAGAAGATTTTCAATTATAAAACTTTATTTTTATTTCACAAAATATAATTCATTCTGTGAAAGCCACATTCAGTAGTACCTCGCAAGACGAATGCCTCGGGCAACAAAAAACTCGCAGGACAAAAGCATCTTGTGAGTTTTTAGGTGCCCCGCAAGACGAAGATATTTTTGTCTTGAGAGGTATGTTTTCCCATAGGAATGCACTGAGAATTTTAATTAATGCGTCCCTATGGGCCCCCATAGGAATGCACTGAATTTTAATTAATATGTCCCTATGAGCCAAAAAAACTCTGAAAAAGTCACTTACCAGGTAGGGAGCTAGGGAAGCACCATCAGAGGACTGGAGGGGATCCCCCACAACCACGATCGCCACTTTCAGAGGTCCCCCAGCAGTCCTCTGATGGTGCTGGGGAAGTCTTCAGAGGCTTCCGAAGCAGGCAATCATGGTTGTGGAGGCCCCCCACCAGTCCACCGATGGTGCAGGGGAAGCCTTCGGAGGCTTGCCCAGCACCATCGGAGGACTGGCGGGGTTCCCCCACAACTGCCGGCTTCTGAAGCCTCTGAAGACTTCCCCAGCATCATTTTTAATTTCTCGCCCTTTTCCCCTGCCTTTTTCTGTTCAGAGGCTTGCTGAGCAGCATCGGAGGCAAGCCTCCAAACAGAAAAGGGCAGGGGAAAAGGGCAGGAAATTCAAAATTGGTGCTGGGGAAGTCTTGCCCCACCAGTCCTCTGATGGTGCTTCCCCAGCTCCCTACCTGCTAAGTGACTTTTCAGAGTTTTTTGGGCTTCCCCAGCTCCCTACCTGCTAAGTGACTTTTTCAGAGTTTTTTGGACCATAGGAACACATTAATTAAATTTCAATGGATTCGTATGGGAAAACGCACCTCGCAAGACAAAAAAGTTCGCAAGACGACAGGACTCGCAGAACGAATTATTTTTGTCTTGCGAGGCACCACTGTATATTATTTCAGACTATTTTCTTTAAAAATTATTACTCCCTACCTGCTAAGTGACTTTTTCAGAGTTTTTTGGACCATAGGAACACATTAATTAAATTTCAATGGATTCGTATGGGAAAACGCACCTCGCAAGACAAAAAAGTTCGCAAGACGACAGGACTCGCAGAACGAATTATTTTTGTCTTGCGAGGCACCACTGTATATTATTTCAGACTATTTTCTTTAAAAATTATTAAATAGAAATCATTCACTAATTCCTTCTTTTATTTAAATATTTATTCAGACTTAATTTAATAAGACAGTACTAGAGCAACAGCATCACAGAATCACAGCTCTGTTTCTCAAATGGTTAATAATCCCCTAGGCCTAAGTTTCTTAAACAACAGTACTTAAAAACCCTTAAATAAAAAAAACACTTAATCCTCTACAGTAAACAATCAAGGTTTAAGGAAGAGAAACACAACAGAAACACTTGGGAAGAGGATAGTTACTGAAGGTTTCCTCTTCAGATTAACAGTGACAATAAGGCTTGCAGGTTAGCTTTACTCAGCTGCTTCTTTAGATTCAGCAGTAGGCTACAAAATTTCAGTAGCAACCTGCAATGTTTAAAACCATTTTCCTGAGCAGCACTATGAGACACAAAAAGGGCTGTGCCTGCGTATGGCAGGGAATACCTGGGGAGACATGACTGGGATGCATTTCCTTGTTGAAGCTCCAGAGCTGCTTCGGCTGACTGGGTGGGTGGGTTTCCAGTCCAACACTGTACTGGCTTCATCAGGACTATACACTTCTTCATCTCGGATATCAGGGACCTGTGCAGATCACTAAGTGTTAAAACGCCCCATAACAACCTAACTCAGTCTTCTGTCGTGAGGTAAAAAAATGTGGGAACGTGGGGAAAGCGGGCAATTTGAACTTTCAGTTAACCATTGGTCAGTGAAGAGGCTGCTTGTCTGTACCTAGTTCAACCCAGCGGTTAGAGAGTGTTGATACAGAAAGAGACTTCGGACTGCCTGGTGCTGCCTGGTACTGTACTGTATGTACTGTATTTTTTGGCTGTTTTTTATTTTAATGTTTGCTTTTTGGATGTCTGACTTTCCTTTTTAAAACAGCCTGTTCTGGGTGAGTACACTGTACTCACCCAGGGTACACTGTACCCTGTACAGGGTTTTTGCAGCTTGGGTTTGGGCTAGGTGGTGGGGGTTATGTTTCTGTGCTCTGGTGGGTCTTGTGATGTGGATTTAAAATGTGAAAAGTAGACTGTAATATTAAATTAAAATAAATTGTGAAAATTAGACGGTAATTTTAAAATGTAAAATTTATTTATTTTTGCATTCTGTGGCTCCTAGGGCTTGTGTACTGTGACCTCTCTTTGCTGGTCTGTGCTTCCTGACTTGGTGTAAAATGGGAGTTTAGACTCAAGTCTACCCCCCCCCAATTGTCTTCTCTCTCTCTCTCTCTATGCTCTCTTTTTGTTGTGAGGGAGTCTGTTTGCTGGAATAATGGTTGCTGGATTCTGTGGCTCCTAGGGTTTGTGTACTGTGGTGTGCTGAACATTACCCATGGCTCCAAAGAAAAAGCAGAACAAAGGGAAGAAAAATATCATCTCCATTGAAATGAAAAAGGACATCATCAAAAAGCATGAAGATGGCATGCGTGTGACTGAACTGGCCACTGAAAACAAGATGGCAAAGTCAACCTTCTCCACCATATTAAAGAAGAAAGATGTCTCGAAAGAAACTGATGTGGCAAAAGGAGTTACAATCCTAACAAAGCACAGACCACCCCTGATGGAACAGGTGGAAAAACTTTTACTGATGTGGATGAATGAGAAATAGCTGAAAGCATCAGTGAAGCCATGATTTGTGAGAAGGCCAAGAAGCTGCACAGTGATTTAATGGAAAGAAACCCTTCTGGAAGTGCAGCGCAAGAAGAAATCAAAGCCAGCAGGGGGTGGTTTCAAAAGTTCCAAAAGAGATGTGGCATCCACAGCATGATAAGACATGGGGAGGCTGCAAGTTCTGACCATGCAGCTGCAGAAGCCTTCAAGTTGGACTTTGTCAAATTCATCAAGGAAGAAGATTACCTCCCCCAGCAAATCTTCAACTGTGATAAGACAGAGCTGTTCTGGAAGAAGATGCCTTATCTCTCTTATGAAGGAGAACCTTCATAACTCAGGAGGAACAGAAAATGCTGGGCCACAAACCTGTGAAGGACAGACCTTTTGCTGTGTGCCAACGCCACCGGCGATCTGACGATCAAGCTTCTCCTGGTGTACCACTCCCAGACTCCTCACCCATTTCACTGAGAGAAAGTTAACAAGGCCACACTGCCTGTCATGTGCAGGGCCAATGCAAGAGCTTGGATGACAAGACAGCTGTTTCTGGAATGGCTCTATGAAGTGTTTGCACCCACTGTCAAGAAATATCTTTCCGACAACCAGCTTCCTGAGAGGTGCCTTCTGCTCATGGACAACGCCCCAGCACACACACCCATCCTTGGTGGATGATCTCGACGAGGAGTATGATTTCATCAGGGTCAAGTTCCTCCCGCCCAACACAACATCTCTTCTGCAGCCCATGGACCAGCAAGTGATTAGCAACTTCACGAAGCTGTACACAAAGGCATTCTTCACCAGGTGCTTCAATATCATCGAGGAGACATCCTTGACTCAGAAGGAGTTCTGGAAGACACATTTCAATGTCCTCCACTGCGTCAGACTCACTGACAAGGCCTGGCAAGATCTCGCAACTCAGACCTTGAACTCAGCCTGGAGGAAAATTGTGGCCAGAATGTGCCACAGACAGTGACACTGAGGTAACTGATTCACAGGTGGTGAGGGACATCATCTCCATGGGTGAAGACATGGGTATGGATGTCAACAAGGAGGATGTAGAGGAGCTGATTGAAGACCATGAAGAGGAGTTGACCACAGAAGAACTTGCAGAACTGCAAACCGAGCAGCAGAAGGCTCTTGTGGAGGAGCTTTCCACTGAGGAAGAGGAAGGTTAGCAGTGAGGAGATAAGATCCATCTGCAAGAAATGGACTGAGTGCCAGGATTTCATTGAGAGGTACCACACAAACAGGACTGTTACAGGAAGAGTTATGGACATGGTGAACAACAATGTGGTCAGCCTTTTCAGAAAGATTCTGCCGCGCAGGATAAAGCAGACAAAATTGCGCAGATTTTTCACCAGGATGGAGCCTGCAGCCAAGAGGCAGCGACAGGGAACCCCCGGAGAAGATGGCCAAAAGGAGGGGACCTCTACCTTGCAGTGCACCGAAAGCTAAGTGATCTCTCTTTTGTTTTAAAAGGTGTTGGTGGGTGGGTTTAAAAGGTGTTTGGTTTTTAAATGTGTTTTGTTTAAAAGGTGCTTGGTTTGGTTTAAAATGTGTTTTGTTTAAAAGTTCCTCGGTTTGGTTTAAAATATGTTGGTGTAAAATGTGTAGGTTTAAAATGTGTTTTAGAGTCCAAACTCTCTTCCCCCATTGTCTTCTCTCTCTGTCTTCTCTCTTTTTGTGCTTAAAAGCACAAACCTTTGTCTGAGGGGTCGGTTTGCCCCAGTGATGACCTTCTTTCTTTCCTCTTTTCCCCATTGTTCCCTCCCTCCCTCCTTTCCTGTCCTTTTTAAACCTAAGTCATCTTAGGTTAAAAGACGAAAAATTCTCCCCCTAATGGTAGAGGGCAGATTAACTACTTTTGCATTCGTTCCTATGGGAACGAATGCTTCAACTTACAACCGGCGCCTCTACATACAACCAAAAAACAGCCAGAATGGATTAATTGGGTTTCAGTGAATTTCAATGGGAAATGCTGATTTGACTTACGAACATTTAAACTTACAACCATCTTCTGGGACGGATTATGGTTGTAAATCAAGGCACCACTGTAAATTCAGAACCTACACATCACAATTCCACAACACCAAGAAACATACATTTCTAGTATAGTCTAAGAATCAGTGTTGATTTATTGAGCTGGGCTTGTTTCTTGGATGCCCTTGAAAAGTGATATCAGTTTGTCAGCTTTTAGTTAAGCACAATGGCTGGCTGGTATTACACTGATACAAGGAGGAGCTGAAAGTTAAAGGTTCTGTCCCTGACTCTACATATCACCACAGCCTCCTTCATATGTTATATGAATGAAAAGGACTCCCTATGCAGAAGAGGCCTGTCTCTGACATCACACATCCTCCAGACATGACTCAGAACACTTTTTAAAATGCCATAATCCTGAAACTTACGTCTGTATCAGAAGCGTCGCCTGTTAAGCTTTCCTGTGGACACCGTGACTTTCGAGAAATCTTTTGATGCTTTGATTCGACTTCTGAATCGTATTCATTTGAATCTCTCAGTGTAGACAGGCCACTGTCAAAGCAACTTTCAGGCAGGCTGTCAACCTCACAATTGGCCCTTTGCATAGGATCACAAAGTGCTAGAGAATCGTCTTCATCAAAATACAACGAATGTGATGACCTGCTTGGAACAAATGGAGAAACAATCACTTGTAGCACTGACTATCAAAGGATGCATCCTGGACTTTTCTTGAGGATTTGAAGTAGGAATGGGAATAATTATTTGAGTGCAATAGAATGCTCAGCTGAGTTTTCTCCCCAATGCTTGTAAACATGCTGGCTGAACTCATTTCCCCCATTTCTGAAAATTCTTCCTACAAAGTTTGGTCAATGTCTTTGTCCCATTGAAATTAAATTTGTACATGATATTAAAGTAAGTTGAAGTTAGAATAGACCCATTTAAATCAATGGAACATACATTGTTGTGGAAAGGGTAAAAGAAATCTCTCCGGCAAAATAGGCCTTAAAACTTTACCATTTGAACCAATCTCTGCATAAACCACCTGCTGACTCAATAGTATTATAATAAACAGCCCATACAAATTCAAGGTCTAACACTCATAGTTAATCATCATCTACATTTAAATGACTTCTTCCAAATTTCCAGACACAGTAAAAATGGAAGCATTAAAGACAGCATAACAGCAAATCACTGGAGACTTCATTAACGCTCACAGCCTTTCTGCTAACATGAAAAAAAAGGTCCTTCAAATTCAGGACATTAAAAAGGAACAACAAATATGTTTTAATTGAAACATGCTTTCAAGGGAAGGATATTGCAAAAACATTGCTTTGAAAGCACAGAGAAAAATGCCTTCCTCAAATTAGGGAAACTGTTGCAATGCCAAGCACAAATTTGAATAGAAATACTGGACTCCCATTCTGGAACAATTAATGTAGGAAAAGTGTTAGCTGTATTCTGTCCCTCATCTCACTGAAGTCAAATTGAATTTAATTGTTCCTGAAGTCGGCTAACAAATGAATGTTGCTTGCTGCTAGATTATCATTAACTCCACTAGAGAGCAGCATGGGTTAGGCGGCCAATTGGTGCACGTAGAGCTTCTTGGAACTAAATGGAAGTCTAGTGGTGCAAGATTATGCTCTTTACATCTCTCAGAAAGGCACTGCACATTCCCAGTTCTCCTGGATTTAAATGGGGCAGCTAATAAAAATGAGTGGTGCTGTATCGGCCCAAGGAACCTACACAGATGAAAGTAGTCTATTTAGGAATGTTTCATATTAACCATTCTAATATTCCAGTACATATTGTACCATTTTTTTTCTAGCAATGCAGGTCTGTATTATACCTCTGTATTGCTACCATTGTTGGTTTTTCATTTTGATGTTGTTGTTTTTAAGGATACATTTAAGAGATCAAATGACCACATTGTAATACTAAATATAGCTATTTGGTCAGAACTAAGTCTCAGTATGAAACAACAACAAAAAAGGTGGTATAGGTATATAGGACAATAAAAAGAGAAGAATATAGATGGAGGAAGAAGAGGTCCTGTCTATGGTGATGGGGAACACAGTTACTTTGTATTTTGGTTTATGTATTTTATGTTTATGTTGTAGTTAAAATAAATAAATAAAAAAAGAACTAAGTCTCAGCCTACTGTAGCTGAACTTACAAGTCGTGCGTTCTTTGGAAGCTAGATACAGATCCACAGAGAAATCGTCCAGGTGAATGGCAATAGATTAGCAAGGATTTTTGGTTCCCAGTTTTTTAATAGAATCAATAAAATGGTTCTGTTCATCTAAATTAGGCTGTCAAAATGACAGAAATAACTAGCAGTGGGCTTCTCTTGAGACTGGACTATGGGATCCATTCACTTTCTGATACTAAAAACAAAGTTCCCTAATTTCTTGCGCAGAGGCACAGTTCTGAATTCATGAGTCTAGTTTAGGTATCTTAAAGCGTGCTGCTTATATATCACCCCATAGCGCTTCAAGCACTCTCTGAGCGGTTTACAATTTAATTATGCAGGCTACACATTGCCCCCCCCCCAGCAAGCTGGGTACTCATTTTACCGACCTTGGAAGGATAGAAGGCTGAGTCAACCTTGAGCCGGCTACCTGGGATTTGAACCCCAGGTCGTGAGCACAGTTTTAGCTGCAATACAGCGGTTTAACCACTGCGCCACGAGGCTCCTTAGGTTTCCACTAAAAAGAAACCAACCAACCCAAAGAAGATACAACAAACCTGAAGCTTGCAGAGCACTGTTTTGGGATCATAGTTTCTAATGTACTGTTTGAAAAATAAAGAGTACATTACAAGCTGGGATCTTTACCAAGTAAAATGAGAACAGCTTTACCTGTCATACTGAAGATTCTGGAGAGACTGGCCCCCACTAAGCTTAGGACTGCTTCTGGAAAGTGTATTCCCTGGAGAAATATTTGTTAGACGCTGAAAAACATACATGCAGGAAAAAAATCTGTCAGTATAACATGGAACATGGCTTGTGTTATCCTTTTCATTCAACTAACATTATTCCCAGATCCAGACATTTATTCATTGTTTTATAATGTCCTAAGCTATAGTACGTACTTCACTACCATTTAACTGCACAGAACAGACTCCTATTGGGATTTATATTTGCATTATTTGCATGTAAGTCTTGGCACCAAATTGGCCATACGATCAAAGTGCTGGCTGCATCCCTGAGTGTGAGCCCAACTGCCCAACACAGCTAGCGCCTCATTAATGGACAGCAATCTACTACCAAATATGTGATTTCCCTTACGCAAGTATAAATCAATAAGAGGATTCCAACTAGAGATGGGGACAAATATAAACATGGATCAGCTTTTTCGATGAAAACAGCCGATTTGTTAAATATCTGTTGATACTTATTCATCAAATTTTAAGTCCTGACGAGTACAAACTGATGAATATTTTCCCGTTTTCATTCGTCCTTCCTAAATTTTTTTAAAACCAAAACCATTTTGCCTTCCAGCCCCTGATCATCTGATCAGCGACCCGATAGGCAGCCACCCACCCCCACAGTCTACCCCCACCCTTTCCTCTCCCTACTTTAGCCCCTCCCACCCCGGCTTTTTTAATAACCCGCTACTTCGTTATTTGTCGCATCATGGGGGCAATGTTGTGCTTAGTGAGTCGTCAACTTTTGATGACTCATGAAGTGGGACGACTCACCCCATCTCTAAAATCTGCTACAGTGGTCCTTTACTCAGCAATTTAAAATATATCTATCTGTCTTGAGTAATTTTAAAATGCTGTTCTGTCTTCCAGTCTATTACATGTACACTCTGGGAGACAGAAGCAAAGGGTTCCTTGGATAACATTTAGGAAGATATCTTGAACAATTTTGGGACTTCAGGTAGCACCCAGCCAGCATAGATCTTGAACAATTTTGGGACTTCAGGTAGCGCCCAGCCAGCATAGATAGCTAGATGATTCTGGGACCTTTTGTAACTTGTAACTTTTCTAGGCCCCTGCATAGGAACCATCAGGCTACAAGCCTAAGCCCACTAAGTAGGAAGAATGTTCTACTGAAGTCTCTGATGTTTTCCTCTGAGTAAACATGCATAGGATGCATTGTCAACTTCCAATGCCATATCCATGTGCTGGGGGAAATAAGCCTCCATAAAATCAATGGAAACTAAGTGGAATTCTGCATATACAGTATAGTGTAAACATACACAGGACCACGAAGTCAGTTATTTTGGTGGGAATCCTGGACGGTTATAGGATTTCAATTAACCTACTGTATGGCTTAGCTTGGCAGGCTAACAGCAAATATTTATATGTGTGTTATGCGCAGTTAAGACTTACAGTGACCCTAAGAGGATTTTCAAAGTATAGAGATGTTCAAGGAAAGGGTTTTTTGTTGCTAACCCTTAGCAAGCTTCCAAGGCCAGACAGAGATGTGAATTTATGTTTCCTGAGTCTTCACTTAATCAGTAGACTGGTTCAGACATGTATACTCTGCACAATAATTTACAAATCCTGGTTATGTGATGTTAGGGCCTACCAGTGATCTGTTGTATATGCTCCAGCTGTTCTCTAGTGCACTTCTTAAACCATCATTGCTGTCATGAAGTTTCCTGTTAGCTGATCTAAAAAAACAAGCCAGGAAAAGCAAACGGTATTCACATTTAATCTGTTGACATTATAAAACCCAGAAGAGAGGAAGGAACTAATCAAGATCGTTCTCGTGTTTGATTCACTCCAATAGCATAATGGTTCAGTAAAAATCTTATTATCAGGAACAATAAGGAAATATATTAACATAACTACCCACTCTGTTTAATCTTTTTCACCTCTAGGGGAATCACTTTAAAGCAGAAAAAATGTAAATATGCATACATACAATCATAAACATAAACACACTAGTATCATTTTAGACTTTTTGTGTGGCTACATCTTCTATTGTCCCATTGTGGGAGGGACAGGGTGGATTTGAGTTAAATCATGATTTAAATTTTAAATATTGGATTTTTTGGACAATTTAAATTTTAAAAAAAATGTTAATTTAAATCCTTATATAAATTTATTTTTTAAAAGAATGATTTTTATCCACCCTTATGTGGGGAAATGTTCTGTGGCTTTGGGGCCCCATCTTGTTTTATTTAAAAATGAAACTCCACTAAAAGGACAATCAAGGCACCAAGGACCTGAAAGATCCCAGAAGAGCCTAGATACCATCCCCCTGGGGGTGGTATTAGAAGTTACTAAACGGTCAGTGAATTCATACAGAGACACACACATTGAGCTCAATAAGAGTTAATTAAATAGTTAACTCTTTTCCAATAACTCTCCTACCTCTGCCCTGTACAGAGAAAAATCCTTAGAATAATCTCATGATTTCACAGTCAATTTAGTTATTGTCGAAAACATAATATTTTATTATTTTCCTTCTTTTAAAAGTGATTTAATGCCAGTCAATTTGTTCAGAAGTGATTCAGAAGGACAGAGGGTGAGGGATAATCCCACTTTTGCAGTCCCTCTTCCCCCATTGTCATGGGTCGTTAACGGTCATTAACAGTGGTCTTTCTGGTGAGTGTGGTCCTAATCTTTCTGGGGACAGATGAAAGGGCAGCATGATAAATAGGAGACAGGTTGTATCTAAGGCCTCCATGCCTGCTGAGTGAGGGATTTTCTATATGCATATGTATTGGCTCCTTTACCCCTCTCTCAAACCACTTATCTTCTGGGTCCAAAATGAGTACATCTTGGTCATCAAATGAGTGTCCTTTGTCCTTCAAATGAAGGAACACTGCTGACTGTGGTCCTGAGCTGTTGCTCCTCCTGTGCTGGGTCATTCTCCTGTTAAGTGTCTGTTTGGTTTCTCCAATGTAGAGCTCCAAGCACTCCTCTTTGCATTGGACCACATATACTATATTGCTCCTGTTGTGTTTTGGTATCCGGTCTTTCGGCTGGATCAGTCTCTGCCTTAGTGTTTCAATGAAACATTTCAACCCAACAAGAAAGAAGTCCAGTTGCCATGACTAAACTTCCAGATAATCAGAGCTGGATGACTGAGAATCTTCACAGATATCCCCTCTATAGAGTTAAAAAGCTTAGGCAGATGATACAACAATCTGGCCAAGGTACTTCATACACCAAACAATTTGATTCAATAGCAAGTTAGAGCACAAGAGAAACCTCACAGCAGCAACAGATACCTGTGTTCTTCCCTGTTATTTTACCTGAGGCAACCATATTTTAAACATTAAAGTTCATTTATTTAAAAAGTGAATTGTTCAGCAGCTTACTGTAGCATTGCTATTTGCCTTTCCAAGCTATCTCTGTCTTCTGTGTATCCTCTGATCATGTCTAGGTCTCTACAAAGCAAAATTAACACAATTATTTTCTTGTAACAGACACTTGTGTATGCACATAATTTACAGAACATTTCCAACAGATAGGACCACTAATGACTCTTACCTTTCTGAACTCAAACTTTGATCGGCAATATCACTTTTCAAGGTATCTAATTCACTCTGAAGGAAAGCTATATTTGTCTGTGCTTCCATAAGTTCTTTTTTAAGTTTCTGGTTTTCCTAAAAAATAAACCAGTAAGATTATGAAGAACAAAAGAACTGGATCCCCCTAGCTCCACTTCAATACTTAAACTACTATATGACATAATCCTAAATCAGGAAACAAACCTCTTCAACTCTACTTTTGTGACAAGCATTTCTAGGATGTAATAAGGATTACATTTGGTGGTTTCTTGGCTGAAGTCAGCTGAGGTCTAAAAATGTTTAAGTAATTAATCTGTTGGTCTTAAAGGTGCCATAGGGCATGTCATTTTCTTTCATCTGGAATAGTGTTATATGTGGTGCCTGTTGTTCTTTCTTGCTGCATTTTCTTCAAGCTAAGTCTCATTGATTAAGGAACAGAGTCTACAGGATGGAACAGGATGGAAATACTTAGAACTATTCCAGTGAAAACTAAAAAGAAACAGCTTGAATAGTTACACCCTATCTCTGTTGGTTCTGTTGTATCTCAGGTTCTGTTGTTAATATGTAACGTGTTTCTCCGATAATAAGACACTGTCTTATTATTTTTTGGGGAAAGAAAAACACCAGAGGGCTTATTTTCAGGGGAGGGCTTATTTTAGAGGAATGTTACACAGTAAGGGGAGGGCTTATTTTAGAGGAATGTTACACAGTAAGGGGAGGGCTTATTTTCGGGATAGGTCTTATTATCGGAGAAACACGGTAGGTAAGCAAGCATAAACAAAATACAGTACGCCCAGGTTCAAAAAGAATATCATTTCTTCTCTCCCCAAAATGCTAATCAGACTACCACCCAATTGTGACAGTTTTGAAGAAAATGTCATCATCCTGCAAATTCCTTAACTGTTACAGGCAGCAAAGATACCAGTTATGTTGAGAAAGACAGGCTGTGTCACCATGCTAAATTAAGAAGTTGTAAGATACTGTATTCATACCAAGGTCAGCTCATGAATCTTCATCTTCATTGCCACTAAATCTTCTTTGTGATTAATGCTTTTGGATTGTTCTTCAAGCTGAAATAGTAAAGAAAGTGTGTTTGGTATGATATATATTTGTATATATAGTACATTTGACCAATATACTGTAGTACAGTGGTGCCTCGCTTAGCGATTGCCTCGTTTAACGATGTATTCACTTAGTGAAGAGTTTGTGGAGTGATTTCGCGCTCCGTTTAACGATGTTTCCTATGGGGAAAATTCGCATAGCGATGTTCGGGACCTTGCCTCGCTTAGCGATGACAGTTTTAGGTCCCCTGTTTCACTTAGCGATGTTCCGTTTTCGCTATTTTTAAAGTGTCTTAAAAAGTTCAAAAATGGTTTTAAATGCTTGGGATCGTTAGTGCACCTTCTAAAACATTTGCAAACTTAATTTGGCTTTGTTCTGACTCTTCGTTAATTTTTGGTGAATTTTCCCCCCCATTGGAAAGCATTGAACTGCAGGTTTGACAGCTGTCAAACTTAGGTTCAATGCATTTCAATGGGGGGAAAAAATTCACCAAAAATTAACAAAGAGTCAGAACAAAGCTAAATTAAGTTTGCACACATTTTAGAAGGTGCACTAATGATCCCAAACATTTAAAACAGGTTTCAAACATTTTAAGACACTTTAAAAATAGCTTTTGACAGGTCTGTTTTCGCTATTTTTAAAGTGTCTTAAAAGCTGTCAAACCTGCAGTTCAATGCTTTCCAATGGGGGGGGGGGAATTCATCAAAAATTAACGAAGAGTCAGAACAAAGCCAAATTAAGTTTGCAAAGGTTTTAGAAGGTGCACTAACGATACCAAGCATTTAAAACTGTTTTTGAACCTTTTAAGACACACTTAAAATTGCAAAAACGGACATCGCAAAACCATTGGAATGCATTGAATAGGCTTCAATGCATTCCAATGGGGGATACATTGTTTCGCTTAGCGATGTTTCCTATGGCCATTTTCGCTTAAGGACGGTAATCCGTTCCCATTGGAATGGATTAACCGGTTTTCAATGTATTCCTATGGGAAATGGTGTTTCGCTCAGCGATGTTTTCCCATAGCGATGTGTGTGTTTTTTGAACCAATTAACATCGTTAAGCGAGGCACCACTGTATATTTGAGCAATACAGTATATTTGACCAACTCATAATAGTGTGTGGAGATCAGTGGAAAGGAAGGAAATCATGTTTGAAAATGAAAAGTCATTTAGGGGTTCCCCCTTGCCACTAAAAGCCCCTGAGGCAGGATCGAAATAAGACTCTAAAATTTACTAGTCCACAGGAACATCACAGGACCGCTTGCCTATTCCTACAAATGTCAGCCATTTGTAGCATGCCGGTATGCTGAACGACAGAGAACCAATTGTTTTCCAATTTACAGGTCTTCCTCAACTGGTTAGAAAAAGAGGATTGCATGCTTACTACAAGCTACTAGGATATGTGCTTATTTATAAGCCTCCTTAAGTAGCTTTAAGCATCAATCACTGCATGTACTTGATGATAATACATATAGTATTTCTCAAAAAGTTGCATTCTTAACCCAGTGCCATGGTTTTTCAAGAAACTGATGACACTTGGCATCAAAGAAACTTTTGAAGTCTATATGAGTAGCATCTATCAAAGCAAAATAGGGATGCATCCAGAACAAAATCCAGGATCCCAGTCACAAGAATAAACAGACAGGCCTCCAAATGGTTAACTTAGTGCAGAAAAAACTAAATAAACACATTGGCATCTAAAGACCTAAGCCTTCATCAGAGCTGGAGAAAGTTACATTCTTGGACTATAATTACTAGAATCACCCAAAGGATTTTGGCAGTTTTAGTAAAAAAAAAAAAGTGACTTTTCCCATCTCTAGCCTTCATAAGAACATCAGGACCAGTGCGACAGGTCACCAGACACCCTCTTGTCTTTTCAATCACTTACTTTCAATGTTGCAAGAGACACTATTCCAGGCATGGAAATATCACAGCTATCTAAACATATGAAGTTCAACTCTTACCTCCAAGTTCTTTTCTCAATTAATCTTTTTATTTACTTCAAACATGGAAGAAGGTTATCAGATAATCAGGCCTTAAGATATGTGTTACAAATACCTGGCCACAGACTCAATGCTACATACCATTTTTAATTTTTTTATAGTCACTTGAAGATCTCCAACTTCTGCTTCATACTGGCGCTTGAGATCATTGAGAGCTTCTTCTGCTTTCTGTTTTTCCTGTAACATTTCACATTTTTGTTAAGTTACCAAGGGCAGACTTGGATAGAACAAGGAAAATATATTTGACAGCTTGATATCTCCCAGGATCCTCCAGCCCCCTAGGGCTACTGACCACATTACCAGGAGGACTCTGGGACTGACAATCCAGGTAAATAATATTCCCAAACTCTGGACATAAGCAATTTACTGTACTGTAGGAAGAGCACATCTCTTCTACTTCCTGCATAATCAGAAATATTTGGGGCCCATCTTAAGGCACTGTGTTTAAAATTTTATTTCCAAGAGCTGTAAAACATTGCTAGGCTGTGCAGAACACAAATTACAATCTCACTGTGTCATCAGTCAGTCTGGTGTCAATGAAAACAATGTGCTTGGTCACCATTAAAATTTATAATCAGCACTATCCCACAAGGTAAATATCACAGTGGCCTTGCATTTACATTTGGGGTGTCATACTGTTTCAAAGTATGTACATGCAGAACACAGTACAATAAGTGTAATTTCAGAAAATGATAAGCAGAATAAGTCACCATGAGCCACCCTCTTGATATTTGACTCTATTTGATTTAACAGATGATCATCTTTCTAGGGTGGGCCTTCCCATTCTTCCATCTACAATTTACAGCATTCCTCACCACTGGACCTGCTGGCTGGGGCTGTTGGGAGCTGGCATCTAAAACATCTAGAGGAAACCAGTTTGGAGAAAGATAACCTAGACATTTGATTGTTATTCTTGCAGGGATCAAAAGTCCTCAACACCTAGATCATTTAGCCCACTGGTTCTTAACCTTGGGTTACTCAGGAGTTTTGGACTGCAACTCCCAGAAGCCTCCACCACCAGCTGTGCTGACTGGGGTTTCTGGGAGTTGCAGTTCAAAAGCATCTGAGTAACAAAGGTTAAGAACCACTGATTTAGCCCTTACTTTTCATAAAGCACAATCTCCTCACAAAACTTCACACCAAAACCAAATGATCAGGGATATTTCCAACGTAATCTGTGATCAGAAATGCACGTTTCTGGATTAAATTGCCTTTTGTGTCTCAATAGCTAAGCAAGAATATAACAACCAGTTATGGCCCATTTTAAGTGGTAGAACCAGAATGGTGCTCAATTTACTTTTGCTAATGAACCCATATTTGGGGTTACATAAAATATATGACAATCTTGAGAGCAAGGATTAATCTTACTTAGATATACAGTGGTGCCTCGCACAGCGAGGTTAATCCATTCCGGATTAACCCTCGCTGTGTGAAAGCATCGTTGAACGGGGCAGGAAAAGCCATTGGAACGCATTAAACATGGTTTAATACGTTCCAATTGGGCCGAATACTCACCATTCAGCGATGCTTCCCTATGGCCGGCAGCCATTTTCGCGCCCTCCCCTTGCTTTACGAGGGCACGAAAACACTGTGCGCGGCCATTTTGGGGCTTCCGGCGGCCATTTTGTAGCTGCGGAACAGCTGATCGGCGGGCTAGATAAGCTCCGCCCCTTGTCACTCCCCTTCTCACCATACGGTTTGAGAAACTCCATTTTGTAACACAGATCCTTTTTCACCTTGCAAGATGCTAGACCTCCAGGCAGGATCTCTGAACCCCAGAGATCCTCCCAGCCACATGGGCTGAGGAAAGAAACCTTTGCTTTTACTATTTTTTCCTTTTGTATCAACCTGAAACCTACTGAATGCCTGTTCATGTGAGTTAAATATACAAAACCTTTTTACACTTAAAGATTGCCTCCTGAGTGTTGTTTTTCAAAAGTGCTAGGCTTTGGTGAGGGTGGATAAACAAGGGAACATCCTTAGCTAATTCTACCCTGATGTAGCTGGCCTTCCAATGTGCATTTTATAGGAACTTACACAAGTTCCCAGAACTCTCAAGAGATTTCGTGTCCGTTTTAATTCCATTGAAGTTGCTTCCACGACTTTGAGAAAACCAAAATTTTGGATTTATTATAATTCAGTTGCATTTTGTTTTTGTCCATGTATTCCACAGTTCTGTTTATTAAACATTTCAAACCTGGATGGGAGCATGAGATGATAACAGCATCATCTGCATAAAGCAATAACAGGACATGATGCATCCCCAATTTTGGTGGATGACCCTCCACACTCGCTAGAAAGGGGGCTAGGTCATTCATAAATAAGTTGAATAGGGAGGGAGCAAGAACGCAGCCTTGCTTCATTCCCTTATTGTTTGGAAATTGATTAGTTAACTTACCTTTCCAAGAGGCACGAACTTGACATGTTGTGCCTGAGTTTAAAATTCTTATGAGGGAAAGGAGTCTTTTATCTATGCCCATATTTTCATGTTTTTCCCACAGAAACTCTATCTACCAAACTGAAAGCTGCTTTTAAGTCAAGGAAAACCACATACAATTTAGAATTTTCATGCTTAAGTGTTTTGTTAATAAGATGCAAAAATATTAAGCAGTTATCTACTGTGGCCTTACCTTTCCTGAAACCAGCTTGCTCAGGGCCAAGCAATGCCTGATTATTGATCCATAAATTAAGCTTAATTAACAGATGTTTTGTATAGAGTTTCCCAATTAATGATAATAAACTGATTGGTCTAAAGTTTTCTGGGAGGTGGGGGTCCCCTTTTTCATAAATGGGGGCAAGAATTGCATTGGTCCACAATTTTGGCAAGATCCCAGTATTATCTATAGCTGTGAAAAGGGAAGCAAAATGTTGAGGCCACCAGTCCGGATCGCATTTCAATAATTTCGGTGGGATGGCATCGGGCCGGCTGCATTTCCAGCTCTTAATTGAGTACAGTGGTGCCTCGCTAGATGATGATGATTAATTCCGCTGAAATCGCTGTTTAGCGAAATCATTGTCTAGCAAAAAGCATTTCCCCATTGGAATGCATTGAAACCTGTTTAATACGTTCCAATGGAGAAGAATCGTCGTTGTCTAGCGAAGATCGGCCATAGGAAAGCTGTTTTGCGAACCGCCGATCAGCGGTTTAAATCACTGTCTTGCAAAGCTTAGCTGTTACACCTGTTTGCGAGTGCGGAGGGAGCTATCAAAACCGTCGTCTAGCAAAAATCAGTTTGCGAAGCAGGGACCAAACATTGTCCAGCGAAATTCCCCCATAGGAATCACTGTTTTTTTGTCCGGCAGGCCGCAAATCGCCCCCGGGCCACATGTTTGAGACCCCTGCTTTAAGGTAATTCAGAAGAACATTATCATTACTTTTGCCTTTCCAACCTGAAATATTCCAAGATAGGATTTTAAATATATTCTTTTGCTAAGGATTTGGTGGGAAAATGTTCAGTCAATTACCAGTTTTGGGGACAGCAGATACGTCTGGATTTGGTACCAGTTGGAGAGGCATAGGTACATTTCGAAAATCAGAACCATCCACAGCTGGGCCTCTTGAGGGGGTCTCTGCTTCTCCTTTATTATCAGAGGTGGAATGATGATGAATTAGTGCTCGGGTTAAGTGTTGGTTTGGATCAAGAGACGTTTGAGGTACGGTAGTCAAAGAGAGGAGTTCCGCAGGTGGCATAGGAACAGCCCCAATGATTTTTTGTCGGGGGGGGGATCGGAGATAGGATGTATACTTCCATGTTGCCAATTAGATTGAGACCTCACTTTGTCCAAACTGATGATGATCTTTATCTGCTCCTCCCTGGGCAGCAGTCTGAAAGCAGTGGTGGCTTCCGACACGAGTTCATCTCTGCTTATGTCCAACTGCACTAATAGGTCTTCATCTGGGACTTCAGTTGCATCCTTGCCATGTCCCTCCTGAACATGGGTTTTGTATAAATTGAGAGAACTTTTAGGATCATGTTACATGTTAGGCACCTCCTTCTTCCTTCAGTCTTGAAGTTCACCCACCTAATGCTTTAGTCATTGGATTTGGAACAGTTGGGATTCTCCTTAGTTTGTCAAGGGAGTTTTCAAGGTACTTTGTCAGCGTCTCAAGTTTTTCCAGGGTGTCAGTCTCACACAGTCCTGGGTCATCCAGCTGGTTGGTGATAAGCTTCAGTCTGCCTCTCAGATGGGGAGAGCCTTGGGCATGAGCCAATTTTGCACTGGCGTATTCTGAGAGGGAGTGGACTGTGCTGGAAATTCCCCAAGGGCATGCTTAGGGTGGTTTGAGTCTGCTTCCATTTCAGAGAAAACTCTTTTAGTTGTTATAGAAAAGGTTCTAAACAGCGTAAGAGGAATTGTTGGTTTACAAAATTCCATCCGAAGCCTTATCTTGAAGCGTGAGGTTGGTAAGCTTACAATATTTTTCAGATCTATTTGGCTCACTTCAGTTCGTAGAAATTTATTTAGAGAGACAAGAATCTTCTGTCTGTTTGTCCATTTTCCTTTGCTTATGTGATTGTCCATGACTTCTAAGATCATATGAGTCACCAGAAGACACCGTGAGGTGGGTGCACCGGCTGGACTCACCTTTGAAAGCTTTCCAACTCTTCTGTCTCCACCTAGGTTAAACCTCTTGCTTTTCTCCCAAATCAGATATGGAGGGGGTGAATGATGACATAGGGGTTCTTTTCCCTTTTTGGTTGGAGACTTCTGGTGAGTATCAAGCTGATCAGTGATATGCTGGAGCTTCTGGAAAACAGCCAGGACTGTCTTTCCCGTTATAACACAATGTTCCCCCAACTGTTCTGTTAGCTGTGTCAATAGCCGATGGTCAGCCACCCCCAAGTATTCATGGGCCATGGTATTTTGCTCACCTCCTCCTGGGGTTCCTGAGGTTTCCCTGACTGAAGGGATCTGGGGTTCCTGAGGCTTCCCTGACTGGAGGGACTGAGTTTTGATCCAAAGCCAACCTGGTTACCTTCGATTCAGGGAGAGGGGGTAGCTCCTGCAATACACCCTCATTCTCACTGTTTTCCTGAAGATCTGCTACCAGTACTGAAAATCTATTTGATGAAGCATTTTTAGCTAAATCACTTACAGTTTCAGATATGGTAAAGGCCATTACTTCATCCAGCTGCAGTTGTTTAGTGACCTTGACAGAAGAATTTGTTCTTTGGCGTTTCTTTTTCCTCCCCATAATGTTCACTCTCCCGACACCGGACTTCAACACTATCCACGGCAAGCCAAATTATGTGAACTCAAAACAAAATAAAAAGTCCAAGAAGCCCTTATCTCAACTGTCCGGAGTTAAGAAAAATAGAGATAAAAAAAGTAAAATATTATGGAGGTTAAAATGAAAATAAAACAAGATAAAAGGTAAAACTGAGAGAGACAGGACATTGGCTGGCAGCCATCTTTTCTTCCAAAAAGAAACCATTTCTAAAACAGTAGTGGAAGAAGCAGTGACACTTTACCTCCTTTTTGATTTTATGCTCTGCAGCTTGTATACGTTGATCCATCTCCTCTTCTAGTTCACCAAGCTGCATTGCTGCTTTATCTTGTGCTCTAAAGCATAAACATTCAGATAAAACAATCAACAGAATTGAGGTTAAAATGAAAATAAAACAAGATAAAGGGTAAAAGGGAGAGAGACAGGGCAGGCTGTCATCGGCTGGCAGCCATCTTTTCTTCCAAAAAGAAACCACTTCTAAAACAGTAGTGGAAGAAGCAGTGGCACTTTACCTCCTTTTTTATTTTATGCTCTGCAGCTTGTATACGTTGGTCCATCTCCTCTTCTAGTTCACCAAGCTGCATTGCTGCTTTATCTTGTGCTCTAAAGCATAAACATTCAGATAAAACAATCAACAGAATTTCAAAAAGCAAAAAGCAAAGCGTGCTGCTTATATACCGCCCCATAGCGCTTCAAGCACTCTCTGGGCGGTTTACAAGTAAATTATGCAGGTAATAGTGCGGACGCGACATTGCCCCCCCCCCCAGCGAGCTGGGTACTCATTTTACCGACCTCAGAAGGATAGAAGGCTGAGTCAACCTTGAGCCGCTACCTAGGATTGAACCCCAGGTCGTGAGCAGAGTTTTGGCTGCAGTACAATGGTTTAACCACTGCACCACAAGGCTCATTTCAAGCAGCCCAGACCTAAACAATGCTGCTTCAGAACAAGGAACGCTTTATCTTGTGCTCTAAAGCATAAACATCCAGATAAAACAATCAACAGAATTTCAAGGAGCCCAAACCTAAACAATACTGCTTCAGAACAAGGAAGAGTAAATATATACAAGAATAAGACCAATTATGAAAATGTCCAGCACATTCAGCAGTCACATGTGGCCTGGATGCCATGCTGCTCTAATCATACTGAACCACCTTTAATAAACAGTCTATAAACATAAATTATTTCCTTTCTTCCTGTAAGTTTTGCTTTGCTTATTAAAGTACAACTATGAGCAGCCAGGCATTTCTTGATAGCCAAATATAAAAACTTCAACAGTCATGATGCCATAACTAAGGAATATGATACCAGATAAAGATGAGCACAACATGTAACCATGACATAAAAGTAATACTTTGCACTGCCTTCCTGGTCATAAGCATTGCATTCAGTATGGACTGGCACCACAAAAAATACATACAGTGGTGCCTCACTTAGCGATTGCTTCGTTTAACGATGTATTCGCTTTGCGTGGGAAGAACAAGATCACAGTTATCCATATAAAACACACACACACACACACACACACACACACACACACACACACACACACACACACACACACACACACACACACACACACACACACGAAGCTGAGCTGAGTTTATTTGGAGTTGTTTTGTTGATTTCCTGAACACAGCTTCACACAAATGATCCACATTAACTAAAGAGAGGACATTTTTTATGTATCCCTTTTTCATTTAACCCTTCTTTCACCCTTTTGTATGTTAAATAGCAAAATAATTTTCCATGCAATAGTGTTACAGGCTCTATATTGCAAAGACTTTGTGGTGTCATCACCCACTCAAAACATGCAGGCAGGGCAGGGTAGGAAAATGTTAATCTGTAGAAAGGCCTAGAACCCACTGAGGAGTGGTCTTTTGTTTCAGTTGTTCTTGTGGGTGGGATTATGATATACAGCTGAGTGACCTCCTAGTGACCTCCATCTTGCTATGCTTCCTGTCTACTTGCCTGATTCTGTGCCCCCATCTTAGAACCTTTAATTTTTGCCTTTTTAATTGATCTTTTGGGGAGATTTCTCCCATTTCTTTTTTTCCTTTTTTCCTCTCTTTTTTTCTTTCATTTTTGCTGTTCCTTGACCACTGGATTTGAGGAGAGAAGGCATCAGGTGGTAGCAAGGACAGAAATCTCCCATATTCTAGTACTTGTGGTTTTAGCGGGAAGACAACTTTAATCATATTTTCACTTTTATTTGCTTACTGGCTTTTCTTGTTTTTTGGGAGAGAAGACTGTGTGTATGAGTTTTACTTTGCTATTTTTCTCCACATATGGGTGTGTGAGGGGTTTGACTGATTTTTAAAAAAATATCATTTGGTTAATTTACTGTGTATTTATTCTTGGGGGCCTGGGGACTGTTTTGTTGGTTTCTGTGAAGTATGTGGGAGAGGGGGATGGACCTTTTATCTAGTTGTGCCAGTGTGACATTGGGCTGTGCGAATATAATAATATAAACTAATACATTCATAGGTATTATGACGATTTGTTCTACATTGTGGACTGCCGCCTGCTTTTGGAATAGATTGATTCCTTGATGCCTTGCCTCTGTGCTTTTTTGGAATACAATAGTTTTTTTTTAAAGCATTTTGTATGGCTTAATGTGCACTACTTGCAAGGAAATATAAATAGGGAACCTGATATAGAATAACCTGAAAGAGGCTTCCCTCTCCGTGTTAAATGAAAGGATCAGTATGCTAAAAACACAAAAATGAAAGAAAATGAAAGAAGAAACTGAAAAACAACCCAAAAGAAATACAAACTTTCCACATCCCTAATTTCAGAAGTGCCTTGAAAGTATTGCAATCCTTTTTTGTAAAAATGATGAGTGCATCTACACTACACAGTTACCGCATTTTGATACCATTTTAACTGACAGGAATCCATCCTGGAGCACCTGTAATTACAGGCGTGCAGTACAGCTCTGTAGCAGAAAATTGTAACTACTTCACCAAACTACAGATTTTTTTTAAATTTAAAATATTTCTATCCCGCCTTTCTCCTTAAAAGGACCAATTCCAAGTCACAACCAGAGTAGGCCCATTGAAACTGATGGATTCAAGCAATATGTGAAGCAATAGCATTTTAGCCAAGAACTATAGCAGAAATTCACTATTACTGGAAATTTTGGGCTATAATTTATTATTTTTTAAAAGCATCTTTACAGGTCCAGCATAATCCTCATCCAATTAGAGTGGAACTGGATGCAAGAATATTAACACACATTGCTAACAGTGACAGCATGTGAATTTAAGCACAAACAATACACTGGAGATAATAATGGTTTAACTGAAACATGTGAAAAAGTGACTTTACCTTTTTACAGCTATGGCTAAGTTTTCCATCTCTGTACTCTGAAGCTTGATCTCACGAATAAAGTTTTTAATAACATGTTCATAAGGCTGAATTAATCGTGGTTCCACTATATTGATGTTCTGATACAGAGTGCTGACCTGTTCTTGCCTAGAAGACAAAAATATATACAATTAAATAGATTTTCACTTTACTCCCAGGCAATAGTTTAGATCAGGGGTGTCCAACCTTTCACCTTCCCTGGGCCACATTAGAAGATGAAAATTTGGTTTGGGCCGCACATACATTTGGTTTGGGCTGCATGGGGGGGCAGCCCTAGCTTTCCTCCACAGCCCCGCTCCAAGCGCGCTTACCGGCAGCTGTGATCTCAGACAGCAGAGGCTGCCAGCTTCGACTCCGGTGGCTTTATAGGACCGGGAGGGGGTCCACCTATTGATGGGGATGGCGCAATGCAGTCATGCAGCCCCCCTGTCCTCTCCCCTCCCACTCCTTCCTTCCTTCCCTCTCCCCCCCTACCGTTGTGACGTGCCCCAGCCGAATTCCAGCCTCAAGTGCCGGCAGTGTAACTTGAAACTTTGGAATTTCTTTAAAAATAAAAAATTGCACTGGGCCACATTATGAGCCAACCTGGACCGCATGCGGCCCTCGGGCCGCAGGTTGGACAAGCCTGGTTTAGATCTTACTCAGAGTTAGTCAGAGAAAAGAAGAAACTGTTGTATGTTTATTCAGATTTTAAAAGCTAGCCTTTATTTTCTTTTTTCCTTAACCATAATTAATTATAATGTAAACAGTAATTTTAGGAAAGCTGTTAAAATTTAATGTTTTTGACATCAGTTTGACTCAGGAAATACCCAGATATTGTCAAAATGCTAACACATATCTGAAGCATAAAAGGAAAACAATTTTTGGAAGTTACTCTGGAATGATTTCCAACCAACACAAATTATATAATGATGAATGCAAATACTTACATAATTTAAGAAAATAATAATACAAGAGGATAACTCCTGTCTCTTGGTGATCAGGAGAGCAGGGCTTTGATCTTAGCATATGATAACAGGGACCGCCCAAAACATTTTGCTGCAGGAGATGGGAGACAAAATCATCCTCCCCCTTCTATGGACCAAGGCTGACTAGATCAGAATTTAAAATTTACTTCAACATTTCCAATGGGGCAGCATTCCTTAGTGCATATGAAGGAAACAAACTAGCTCAAGGGACACAGGGAACACGTTTCAATGCTTTCCAAAGTTAGTGCTGATTCAGGTAAGTACTATGTCACCTCGGAAAAAAAGTTAAATAAAAAATTAAAATACACGCAGAGAAGGATAGTCCCAGTGAAAACGCCCAGTCTCAAAGACGTGGTAGTCATGTTAGTCTGTGCAAGTATATCAGGCAAAATCCAAATGAAAATAAAATTTAAAAAGACAAAAACCTTTTGGTACCTTAAAGACTGTTATATTGTAATGTGAGTTTTTGTGGATGAGTCCACTTCTTCAGACATATAGAGTAAAACAATGGGTCTTCACAACTTTCTGCCTCTGCCCCTGTTTACTCCTGCAACAAAATACTTGTTTGCGTTCATCTGGATAGCTACAGCAATTTCATTCATGGAAACAAACAAGGACCTGATTTTAAATACAGTACTTCAAATCAAAGCAGCTTTTCCCCACTGTGTTGTTGTTTAGTCTTTTAGTCACTGTGTAGTTGCATCCTAAAGGTGCACACAAAGCAAACACAGGGATGTCTTATTCAGCAAGAAGATGCAAATAAACCAACACTTCTAATTCTGAAAAGTCAATGAAATAAAGCAGTAGTCATCACAGCTTTGCAGAATTTGTGCTAAAAACCTCACATCTGTGAGAATTGACAGAAAATGTCCCATCTTGAAGGCAAGATGCAAAACTGTGCTGTTTTTTGTTCATAGCCAGCAGAATGGGACAAGTAAGGATCCCTCATATATGGCAGAAATGCAAATTTATTTTAAAAACTGTCCTGGGGTTGTGTAACTAAATTAAACAAATACAAACTGGAATTTACAATTTAATGCTATTGGCATTCTTGTTGGGAAAGTTAAAGATACTGACTTATGCATGACCTTGAACATGAGTCGGGAATTATTCATGACACTGAACATAGGTAGGGGACATGTAGCCCTCCAGTTTTTACTGGACTGCCATTTCCATCATCATTGCAGAGCCCTAGCTATGGCTCAAGGCTCTGCAATCTGACATCAGTAGAGCTTTATGGGCCCCCCCATCACTGATCTAGAAACTTGAAGTGACACAATAAGGAAAATTGGGTGACTAGCAAGTTGAGCCAACGGAGTACAGCTTTCTGGCAGAAAACACAGATAAACACACACCAGATTATATGCTTATAGAGGAAAAAATGTTAAATGCCTCTCCTGTATGATCTTCCAAAGGCAACTCTCTTCCATTAAAGATTTTATGTTATGCAAAAAGTGTTCTCCTGAGTTGTTAAGAATATTCCAGGGTACAAATTTAAAAGATGAAACCAGTGGAACCAAATTATCATGAAACAAACAAGGTAAAGTATGACACAAATTTATTAACATTTCAAATGTAGAGATGGGCATGAATGCAGATTGTCAGATCATGCTGGAGTGTTGTACCAGCACCACAGGTGCCTCACGGTCACATCTCCCACCCCCACTCTTGGCAAGATTCCCTCACTCACCAGCTGGTACATGCTTCGCCCCTCCTCCTCTTCAGTCATTTCACCACTTGCAGTAGGAGCATGGACTTCACTTCTCCACCTCCTCCAGCAGCTGCCCACTCAAAGGCTATCCCTACTGCAGCAATCCCTGCCCTGCCTCCTTGTCTGAATAGGCAGCTGCTGGAGAAGGCAGAGAAGGAAGGACCGTGCTCCTCTCTGGTGAAATGACTAAAGAGGAGGAGGAATGGAGCTCATACTGGCTGGTGAGTGGGAGAATCCATCTGAGGGGAGATGTGGGACAAAACTGTGCGGCACCTGTGGTGCCAGGATGATGATCCAGAATAATCTGACAACCCGGATTGTGCCCATCTCTATTCAGCAGTTGCAACCAGACCCAACCCAGTTTTGACTCCTTTTAAAACATCTTTCCAGTAGCATGTTTGACACCAACAATTAACCATACCAGATCCAGTGGCTAAAGAGTGAAAATTACAACTTTTAATTACATAGGAACATTAGAATAGGAAGAAATTTGAGCTTGAGTTTTTCTTCTATTGCAACATCCAATTAAGAGAATTTACACCCACAAGTTCCTTATCTTTCTCCCAAGCTTTAACATTTGGTCAATTCTATATTCCTCCTTTTCATCATAACCCTTATATTTTCCCCCTTTTCCTCCCTCAAAACCTCCAGGCTCCTCTCTCTTTTATTTCTCCAGCCCTCTTGCCCTCTCCTCCTTCAGGCTCCAGGATAGGCTGACTACATACACCACCCAGCCAATCACATTACTACCCTGTTAACAAATGGATTGGCCAGGTTTCCCTTCACAGATGTAAGTAAAATAAGCCCATCAACAATTCACAACAGTACTAAATGGCAACATCAAAAACAAACTAGATATGCTACATTAATTGACACCAGTAACTAGAGACAAAGTCATTGTTTCTATTCAAGCCCAAACAAAGGCTGTATATCTAGAGACTCAAACATTTTGATACCTTTTAATCTAGCAATTTAACAGCTGTAGTTTCACTTTAATCTTCCTTTGTTTTAGATGCAACCTTTGGCTTGGCAGCAGAGTGCCCTGGGAGGCTGAAATGTTCTCCCATCTATGTCATTTCTGACATTAGACCTCTATTCACTTATAATGATCTGTGTCTTATCAAGACACCAAAAAAACCATGACAGAAAAATGGTACCATGTGTTACACTCAATAATGAGTGTGAGAATGAGCCTTGACTGCATGGCTAAAATGGTCTGGTCTTCTAAAAGCGCTGCCTGAGTGAAGGTGACCACTATCCAATTGTATCTTTCTAGCCACCAAAGGAGCAGGTGGAATGCCCCTCTGTCCACGCTCATTACGGCTAAAATTATTCCAGTAATGTGGTGGAACGTCTCAAGCAGATCTGGAGGCTGTAAAGGGGGGTGGTGTTGCAAAAGAAAACCTATGTCACTGGAGCACAAGTTCACTTTGTAACCTTGGGATCCACATTTGAGAAGACAGCATCTCTGTGGGATTGTTGAAGAGTTTAGTCTTGTGTTTGTGTCTGCATTGCATGGCTTCCTGGCATGTTTCAGTGTTTGGAATAACCACACACGCACACACAAAAGGAACTATTTGTACAAGTAGCCTTCTTCACACATAGGTAGATATATGCCATTTCTTGGTCCCACACCCCTCCATGCACAGTAGATTACTGGAGATATTAACTTCTTAACTGGCCCTTTAAGAGACACTGAACATCCGTACACTAATAGTAAAGCAATAAGAGTTGGCAGGGTGTTTTGCTCTTCTGTTTTGGTTTGGTTTGTAACATCTCTTCTTGAACACTGGCTCTAGCATTACACTGGCTTTCAAATGGAAGGCAGTCTTATCCAGATCTTAGAAATGTTACATTTTTGGAATAAAATTAACAGAATCTCATAACAAACCAAGAAAATAGGCATTTTTATGCACAACAATCATGTCTAATTAGTACAGATATGAAACTGAAGCTCCGATATACAGTACAATGGCTTGCATAAGGTGAGTTTAACACTAAGCTGAGGTTTGAAATAGAGACTCATAGCCTAAAAATGAAATTAGATCATGGTGACATTTGGAATTGGTTAAAAAAGCAGACTTCCCTATAATCTCCCACCTGCTACGTAGTTGACAGTTTAAGTCACTTCCTGGTCTGATGAAGTTTCAAGTTTCTCCTCCAGAGGAGACTACAGATTTTGTACAAAACAGATTTTGCATTAAAAAGGTAGAGGTCAAAACTGCCTATGTCAGGCATAAAATATGCATTTGATGGAAACAAAAAAGGAGCAATTGCAGATTAGGATTATGAGGATGATGTCCTGTCATGTTGATTTCAGTGACACTTTTCAGGGTTTTCTAAGTCTACAGTACATAGAAATGCACTATACTTCTCTTGGGATCACGTAACTTGCCCAAGACCACATAGGTTGACTCTTCTCCTACAAG